TTTCACTTGGTAATGTGATTAGTCAGGTTTCAGTTCTTACAGGTTAGCCATGGGTTAAAATGAGTTCTGTATGCTAAAGTGAAAACCCATTTTTTAAAAACAGAAAATGACTTATTGTTTCTAGGCTATTTTGTATAGGTTGAGATTAAGAGTTAGCCTAATATACTATATGTTGCGATAAATTGAGAGAAGTGTAAATAGATAAACTATTTATCAACAATTCAGGTTAATTGTTGAATAACATAGTAACCATTTCTAAGATTTATGATGTCCCCAGAATGTTACCAGTACACCACATCTCTCTTAACTTTTAGTCCCTAAATATCATATGATGTCTGAGTCAACACACTGGTTGTGTGTCACCAGTCTGGTTTGATTAGGCCACATTGCATTTACGGTCACGAGAGTATGCAGTTTCAACTATCCCATAAACATGTGACCTACGTTCCTTATTTTGTGCTTTTGAACACACCCTTAGGATTGCTGTCTAATTGTTCCAGGTCTCATTTTGCTTATTAATAGCTTGTATTCTCAGTCATAGTTTTTGCTATGGCACTTTCGAGAAGAAAATCTAAGGAATTTTAGACTATACTATATTCTATACCAAGTCTTAGCTGAAGACTTTTATATGTACATCCATAACTGCAAAACGCAAAACTCCCGCAATTCCCCTTTCCACTCAACACTGGCATTCATCAGAAAATGTTTTTAATTTTACGTGGTTGGTAATATAAATACAAAATGCAAGACATACTGTAACTTCAAATTGATTGTTTCATTTCATCAATCACTTCAGTTATTGAGTACCATGTCACCTAACACACCTAAACTTTGATACTAAAATTAAAAAAAAGTGCTGGTATTTCTGTTTCCCTAATATTAACTAAATACTTACTTTTTTTGTCAGACAAAACAATGAATTTAAGACATCATGGATTCCTGTCACTGAAAATCTTCATTATATTTGATATTTTATAGACAAAACAATTAGTTGTTTCATCTAAGAATAATCAAAATGAATCAGTAGAAACAATCATCAGTTGCAGCCCTAATAGTTACTCCCCAAAATAAACGTTTTCATTTCTACCTTTGTTTTATTCTTGTACCTTCATTGGGGTTATGAAAGAGTTTTATTTCAGCCAATGAGATACGCCACCTGAGTCCAGATGGAGTAAAATACAATTTTTTTCAAATTTCAGATGGAACATTGTCATCCCAACATTAGCTACTGGACACTACATGGACTCTGGTAAGTGTGTGTGTGTGTGTGTGTGTGTGTGTGTGTGTGTGTGTGTGTGTGT